AATGGTCATGAAAAAAGGTTTCCCGATACTAGGGGTACCTTTTTGGAGGTTTCTATAATAAGTAATGCAATACTTTGGGGTCTATATTGGGGTACCCCAAGGTAGGGAAACTACCAAGTATCTAGCGATCAGAAGGCAACACACACAACCAGACTTTCTGTGACCTGTTTGTTTTCTGTCCCCTTCCTAATCGTCCAGGTATTCAATAACTACGACACAGAGGCAGAGGGATTGGAGGAGCCCCCCGGCCAAGAAGTACAGTGTGTGGGGCCCTAAACCCTAAAAAACCCTAAAAAACCCATTTTTAGAACCTCAAGATGGTCTGGTTGTTCTGTTTTACATGTGGGCGTCCCCGGGAAGACGAAGCCTCTTACGCGACACGAGGTGGAATCATCGGAGCCTCTGTGCAATCCCATGCTTCATAACCCCACAGTTGCCAGAGTCTTTTCATACAGCCGACGCTTTGACATGGCAATGTCAGTCAGCTTCTAGAGTCCTAGAGGGTTCAGCTGGTTCCCGTGCTGCCTTTTGTATGCCACACCGTGCACCCATCTGCAAGGGAGTGGCCTATGAGAAAAGCTAGGACAAGTTCAAAGCTTCAGCTTTCAAAGCCCAGGCATCTGGTCACTTGCGAGAACGACAGAAGCACGAGAGACAGCCCTAAAGTTTTAGTTTGCCGAGTTGCTGCTAAGGATTTTTTACTTACTTAATATGGAAACCCAATTAATTAACATATACCCATATTATGGTTTAGGGCTTAGGGTATATACCCATATTATGGTAACTGAGATCAAGTTTCTTGACGGCAACCCAGTTTGAATGGATGAGAGTCGGGACGCTCAAGACTGCCTGCAGAGCCGAGGTCTATCTGCAGGCAGCTTTCTTCACATGAGCTATATAGCCTGAACTCCGGTTTAGGGTTTAGGGTCCTAAAATCCCCCTAATTATCCCCTAGAATACTCCCACATATACTCTTCAAAGATCTTTTAAGACTATAGCTCACATCGCGAATGAAATCTGGAGATCGCAGGGGAGTGCGGGACTGCAGTCCACAGTTACTTGAGGGTTTCCCAAAACTAGGGGTATCGTTTTGGGGGGCTATAGGGGGATATGTAGGAGGTAACTATATTGGGACTTTTAAGGCTTCGGGTTTCCCAAAATTGGGGTTCAGGGTTTAAGGGTTAAGGGTTTAGGGTTTAGGGTGGGGTCTTTATTCTTCCAGGGATCCCCTTATTTTCGGAAACCACCACTTGGGTCTAGAGAAAAGATGCGGCTACACTGCCGATAGAGATAGAACCTATGTAAGGGCAGATGTGGGATCAAAGAATGAAAATGGAGCCTAAACTGAAGAAATTTTCCTTTTCCCCAAATACCATATTTCACCTTGAGCAACAATCTCAAGATCTGACCAGCTACCCGGCTGCACCATGCCGGAAGTACTGTAAGGGCCTAAATGGGGGGGTATGCAGGAATAATGGAGAATGGGGATAATCACCCAAATCTTAATTCCAAATCCGGTGTATAATCATGGTGTAAGGTACCTCAAAGAGACCTCAAAGCATGCTGGTAATTCTTGAAGCCCTCACAGTACAACTGTTTGAGCGCTGACAGATTGCTGGCATTTTGCCAGCAAGCGCTTACTCTCGCACGCCAAAGTGTGGCGTCCGTAGGTATCTCAAGTGCAGAGCCGCCTTACACCCGCACGACCGTCAACGAAGGAGCGTTTACGATACAAACCACACATCACAAAAGCTGATCTGCTAGGTTGTCAATAAATATTTTGGTCCTTTTTTTTACCCAAATACTTCTCATACTCTAAAGTGGCCAGTTTGGAGGCCCCACCATGTGGGATCATCAAGCTTTGCCATGCTTTGCTAGTTCGTGAGGATCCGGTGCGTGTGTTGCATAAGTCTGCATAGACATCAAACCGCCCAGGCAAAAATTATCTAGGGCCTAATATAGACCCATTATTAATAGGGATATGTAGGGGTGACATATGGGTATATAGGGGTACTATACTGATAATGGAAAAGAAATGGAAACTACTATTTAGGGTTTAGGGTGTAGACCCATGATTAGTAAACCGCCTCCTTCTAAGGGCCTGAATATGAGGATCCCTATTAAGAGGAGGAGGTTTATGAATCAGAGGTCTACATTAGTAAGCACTTAGAGGGTGGTTTCGGAATATACGGTACTAGAGCCACAGGAGGGTCGGTTGGCGGGGACAATATGAGCTATGGTCTCACTCCTAGTATCCCCCTTAATAACCCCTATGAGACTTCCCTATGTAATCCCTTATATAACCCCTTTGGAGGAGTTTGGACTGTAGCTCGTAGCAGTAATCTTCCAGGCCCCTGCAAGAGGCACAAAATTTGCGATCTCCCACAGATCCTTAAGCTTCGTTAAGGGTTATATTAAGGGCTGTATAGAATTATAGTACAACTCTGATCCAGCTGTCACAGAGTGGGGGAAGTACCCAACCTTAAGCCAAACATGTAAGCGCTCCGTCCTCCAACTCCATGGCAAGTTAAGACGTATCATTCACCCAAAGTCACCCCCTTCCACGGCAGAAAAAAACAGCTAGCCCTTATTTCAATGCTGGTCACTGCACTGCTTTGCAACAAAGGTGCGTTCGGTCAAGTCCAGGGGCATCCAAGTCTTGTAGCGCTCCTACCAACAAACCTCCACTATCTCATCGAACAAACATTAACCTGCAAGAAGTGTTTGCGCAAGGCATATCGCATGAGATCGTTGGCTGCAGATGGACAGGGCCCTGCGTTTTCTGATGCGTCCTCGAAACGCTTAGACCTGAAGCCCTAAAGCCGTACTCCGTACAAAAGGGCCCCTTCGCCTTGGATGTACCCGGATAGATAAGTGAATAAACAGTGTGCACAGATATGTGTATATATGTGGTCTTGCATCTTGGGAACAATAAACGACATGACATATGAAGTGATGCCAAGAAACTATTAAATATCATAAACATGAAGAAGGAACAAACAGTCTAGCAAAATATTAGAGATTCCCAGATTTTAGGAAGTTGTAGAGATCTTGTGAAGCTGCACCTCTTTCCGTGGCTGGTGCTGGGGCGGGGGGGGGGGGTCGTGAGTGCCAGGAGTGCGGGGAGCAACCGAACCTGCCTGAAATCCTAAACCCTACATTCAGAATCCCATCGTGCGCAGCGGCTTGCACAGGCCTCTGGTATGCCCAACCTGCAGCCAGCATGAGTCTGGGCACTATAGAGCTTTAGGGTTTATGGGGGGTTTGTCGAGATTATGTTGGGTCTACAGCGTTGCGCCAGTTATACAAGGCTTCTAAGGAGAAAACATGGATAACTATTTGGGCATCAGGAGAAATGCGTGGTTAGAGCTGTACCGTAAGCAGGCCTTAGGCGGGTGCCTAAACTTAAGTTTCAGATGTTCTGCTTAGACTACCTATAAGCCCAGTTGTAGGATCTGAAAACGCCACCACCCTGCAGCAGTTCCTGATGTTCCTACTGTAGTTACGACGTGAAATCCCTTGGGTACGACCCGGCGTATAACAGGACAACCCTAGATCTTCAAACCCTAAAACCCTAAACCCTAAAACCTAAAACCCTAAACCCTCAAACCCTAAAACCCTAAACCTTTGGCATCCAGCCTGCGATGCCTCTGCTGGGAAAGCGACTCCCAGACACTTGCTTTAAGCGATGAGGCTCACTAGGTGAAGGGGCCATTCTTCAAGAACTATTGCAAAATGGGAATGGAACATAGTGCCCTCTGTTTACGGAAAGCATCAGATAGGGTTCAAATTGGGGGATTCTTGCAGAAACTAAATCCTAAACCCTCAACCTTAACCCTTAATGGTTCGAGCCACCTTGCTCGCAAGTGCAAGTTCAGGCAACCTGGAGGGAGTAGGGTTTGGGGTTTAGGGGTTTTTCCGGTTTTCCATGATTCGTCCAAACGGTCCAGGTACCTACATAGTATCTAGCTTGGGTCCCAAGGCTTTGCCACATGGATACCTTGAGTCCCTCAGTATGTACTATATATGTACCTGGACTCTTTGAATTAGGCAGTTCTTCAAATGTTCTTCCTCAGGAAGTCATCCACTGCTGGCATGTTTTTGTTGGGACATGTCACAAGAAGGCAAAACTTCCTTAAACAAAGGCGCGGAGACATTGGCATGACCAAGCAAACCAACATCTCTTCATTAGGGAATTTACCTTGAATCATATTTGGAAGGCCCAAATGGTTAACGGTTTAGTCTTTGATTAAGGTATAATTATCTATGTATATATAATTATATGTGGCTTTCTGGGGAGCCCTCCTTGCGACTGCATGCGAGAGACTTTCTCTGCAGGCGCGTTCAAGATGGGAATGCTATAAAGCATGAGCCTCATACCCTGATGCTTTCCACAGAAGATAGGCTCTACTCGCCCAAAGATCCCACATTAAGTCTGCAGGAATATAGCTTACATCATCTCAGGGATCCGAGTATCACGTGCAAGGTATCTTTCAATAATTCATTGACGGGGATTGGGCCTCTTCGTCGTTGAGTCCTGATTTTGAGCCTCGTTCATTGCTGGATAGCAGCAAGTCGTTCCGCCTGCCCCACTAAACTGCACAGACTGCAGGGGACATGGGCCCCTTTGCGTGAACAGACTGCAATAAGCCGAACTGGCCATGGGAAGCCTCAGAGGTACTCATCGGCCGCACGTGCTGTACAGTGGCCGTGGTAACCATAAAGGCCACCTCCTTGAAACCTTTATAAGTTCGGTAGTGCGAGGTTCTGTGACTGCTAGACACCTCCACCCAGGCCAATAAGGAGCCAGCGGAGAAGAGAAAGGTTGGGTCCAGGATGTTCTGGTGCTTACCCAAGCTCCTGTGAAACGAACTCACAATAAGTGGCTGCTTCCCAAAATACGGGGACCCCAGTATGGACACCAAAATACTATAATCCTTATTATAGAGACCCACAAAGGGTACCCCTAATTTTGGGACCCCCCAAATCTGTACAAAAGATCATGCAGCCGAGATGTAGCGGTCGCGCAGAGGTGAAGCCTTGGCTGTCTGTTTAGTCCGGGGTTCCCGCCGTAATGCGTGCACAGCCCAAAGTTGGGTTTAGGGTCCCCAAACCCAAAAAAAAACGCACGCAGCCGCTGGTCGTTTCAACAGCATCCAAGCCCTCTGGAACCAAGACCTTTCTCAACTTCATGGCTTCAGGGCCTCATCTGCCGTTGCTTCTGCTCCTCTCTCTCTACGTGCATCTGCTTGTATTGGAAAAAACGAGGGTGCTGGTACCGGAGTTTGGAAAGTGGGCATGCTCACTATATAACCCCAAAACCTAAACCTAAACCTACAAAACGGGACCCCGGGTCTGGATACCCTCATGTTGCTGGCACAGGGATGCTGGGAACCCCCCCAAAAAAGCAGTCCTGAGGCGACTATCTAGATGCCCAGAAAGCCCGATATCCTCTATTTGAAGAATATACCCTAATCATGTCAGGGATCCTCCTATCATTTAGGGTATGTTCCTTAAGAAGGGGATACTGGGCTTTTTGTGAGGGAAGCGGGTCCGGGCAACAAGGAAACACGACTCTCAAGCCGGCACCGTATTCGTCTGGATAGCAACCTCGTACTCCTACTGCCAACTCATCGTCCTGTAGCTATCGCTGTCAAAAACCCTTCCATACACGACCCTCCTCTGCCTTGACAATAATGGATGACTCCAGTACCATAGCATATCATGTAGGCAGCAACGACCATCTGTCGTGGAAGGTGGGTTCTTCATTCTAGGATAAGGTGATTACTGATTACGGCTAAGCTCATTCTGAACTCCATTTGTGTGGGCCTTTGCCTTGTTCGCTGAGGAACCACCAAGACAAGGACATGTAAGAACATCTTAGGAGTCTTAGCATCCACGTACCTCAGCTACCAGACAACCCCACGCCAACACACACGTTACCTGAATTACATTCTAGCTCATGCTCGTCTTAATCTGCACCCCACCCTAACTGAAACTGACTCCTGAAAGCCAAGTAGCCGTTCTGGATCTCCTGCTTGCCCCTGCCCAATTGACTTGGTCTTCCGCCATCTCCACAAATGTGTTGCGGACGACAATGTTCCTGAAGGCTTGCTGCATCTGAAAGCTGAAAGCTATAGGGTTTGTGGATCCGGTGAGAAGCTTCGGTTCCAGGGATTAACGCTACAGGCTCGAGGTGACACGCCTTGGCGGACACTTGTAGGGCTGAATGTTTCCTCCTTTCAGTTTTGTTTTGCAAGCCCGTGCTCGTCCGCGCGAGGCGCGCGACTTCATTCGCGCACTTCTATGTCCACAAGAGGCCTACCCCGAAATACAAGGATCCCTTTTCGACGTCCTGCATGCGCCAGAATCGTGAGGAGCCTTTGGGTACTGTGAAAGACCGCTATCAAGCCCGGGGACAGACTGTACCCAGCTAGCGCCTACTGCTCTTGTACCCGGCAAAGGCAAGTGAATAACGCAGGGACTCGTGCGAAAATTTACAACGAAAGTTTGGCATCTAAAAACATTCTGGACACCTTTTATCATGATTCTTGGACATTCCTCAACCAAAACAAAAATCTTCATAACATCAAGCCAAGAGTCGGGGTTGGTAGCATTTCCTGGCGGTATTGTGCAGGCAGGCGCTTGGGCTTTGTACGGAACTTGGGCTGTGAAGACTCAAAAATATTCGGAGCGTAGCAGCCACCATAGGCCCGACGATAGGCGGTCTTCTGCCAACTGTAGGCTCCTTTGAACTCTGGCTGGATGCGATGCCATACTTCCCGTGAAATTGCACACTGATATGGCAGCAGTTCCTGCCCATCCAGAGTTTGATACACGGCCACATCCAAGTCAATCCTCTGCAAGAAGAGCATGAGATACTCCGACAAGCAGAAGCTGCTACTGCCAACCATTTGGGGATGGAAACAGACCCACATAGCAAGTCCTTCCTTGCGTGCTGCATCAATGGTTGTCAATTCTCTTGTGGCATCCTCCCTCATAGCCGGAACAAGCAGACATCCGCGTCGCCAGCTCTGAATGGTGAGGATCACGTAGAAGTCAACGTCAAGCTTCCTGATCTCAGCGGTAAAAGGTCGGTTCAGGAAAGAGGTTGCCGTGTCCCTGAGGCACTCCAATAAGCTGGCAAAATGCTCAGAAGCCCAGTGGGCAATATTGGGCACCCGGAGCACGGCATGTATGGTGAAGAGCTCTTCCTCATCCTGCGGAAGTCCGATGACCATGGCTTCAAAAGCTTCCGGGATGCTTTGAACTGCGTAGGCGCTGGCACCTTGCTGTGGATAGTTTCGCCGCACCGCGTGGCGGACCCGTCCAGGTGTCCTTGGATGGTAAAAGTAGCTCAGCCTGTCCGCTCTCTCCATAGTGCCTGAGATCACAGGAACTATGTAACAATGAGCAGAAAGAGGGTGCTCTGTTGAAGTTTTGTCCTACTAGAAAATTAACCAAGACCCAAGACCCGTCGGAAAAGGAGAAACACCCAGGGCATCCTGGGATTGGAAACGATGGTAATTCGATAAGTTGTAGACCCCCCCAAACCCATTCGCTTGGCATTTTGAACCTCTTTCGGGTAGTTTGGTGATTGCCTGCTCAAGTTTCCGCTAGTGCTTGGGGATGGGAGGGGGTAAGGGAAGGTATGGATGATGCGGATGGGAATTGTGTAAAGCAATTAGCTTCAATGCAAATAAGCTCGGAAAGCCTTCATCTGGGGGCTGCAGAAGTCCCATGTTTACGCGGCTGCATGCCTTATGCGGGCTGCACACGGGGCTGCAGAAGCCCAATGCCAACAAGGTCTGGGGGCTGAATAGGGTCTGGGGCTGCGCAAGTCCCATGACAACAAGTCCCAAGGGTCATGGCAGGATCATTATGGAAGATAATATGGAAGAAGCCCCACATGTCATGCAAGCATACGTTTTTTTCTCGGTTGATTGTTTAACTCTGTTCGATTTTGGTCGCTGGGTGCTTATGGTACATAACGCTCCTTCTCATGAGGATAAACATTTAGCAAGGGATTGATTTCCAGCAGCATTTTTCAATCCCAGGATGCCGTGCGCAGTACTGTACACCTGGTATACCTGACTTAGCGGCCACGATGCTGAAAACCACGCAGCACATTTTGGAGATCTTTAAAGGCGCCAAGCGCTGCGCAACCTAAGTGATGCTTCACATTCAGATACGAAGGCACAATGAATGATCATTAGTATACGTAGGGCTATGTGTAGTTGGTGTACTTCATACAAACCAGTGCATGGCTACAGTTGCTGCCTTCCTTACCCCAAGGATCCAATTAGTTAGACCAACCTAAAGGCCAGCAACGCTATGACCAAGCTACAGGCTCACCTCACGCAGGCAAGGTCGTATGGCTGTATATAGTTGCTCCTTCCCTAGCCCCAGGGTCGAAAACCAGGTTCCCCAGTAAACCCTGAATAACAAGGGTACCCTTTTTCCTACTAGTGAGCTTTAATAAGGAGACCCCCATAAAAAAAAAGGTGGAAAAGGTACTACCGAGTACCTAGTGTACCCAGAAGTAGGCCAGCAGCGGCTTGACCAGGCGCGACTAGGTCCAGAAGCTGGAAGTTCTCCTCGTTGAGCTCGGGATGTCCTGAGCTAAGCCCTGCTAGGTTTCCCAAGATTTAGGGTCCCTTTTGGGGTTCCGATTCCCTGGCATGGGGACGAGAGGCTGGGTGTAGTAAGTAGTAGATGGAATACCCCAGGATGGCAGGCATATTGATCCACACAGTGAAGACTGCGCTTGCCTCTGCTGCAAAGTGGCGGTTAAAGAAATGGGCACGGGCCTCCGGCCGCACGAAGAGCGTCGACGAGTCTTCCACACCACGGATCCTGATGTCCTTTCATGGGTTCCCCTACTAATTACACCCCCGCTTCCTACCTTAACTTAAACTATTGGGGGTAGTTATGGCCCATTTAAGGGACCCGTGATCCTTGATGGAGAGCCTGACCAACTGTGAATGTTTTGCCCACGGGCTGCTGCGGTATAGCAGACTGCCGGCAGGGCAATCAACCTCAGTCCGCCACCTAAGTTCTCAGGGAGCCCAGTACTCCTTGAACTCAGGAAACTTCGGGCCATTCAGAGCTTTCATATGATACATATGAATATATATTATATTACATACATCTATATGTACCTACAAATTTGCATTCCACATTCCTTCATTACGCTGTGCGGGGCACTTTGGGTTGACAAGTAATCAATAGGCAGTTGGTTGACAGCCACTAATGTAAAGCCGGTTTCATTAGAGTAGGGTTTTGAGGATGCTTGCTGATTTATATGTGGGTCAAGGGGGGGGATATCGGTGATTCTTCAGGCTTCTACAAAAGTTTGCTTGCTTTTGCCTAAGGCGAAGAAAGGACAAGTTCCTGGGCTAAAAGCCTCAGCAGGTCCCAGACAAATTAACAGAACCTGGACAGCAAACACCAGATCGTAGTAAGGACATAGTGGGCGATACGCAGCAAAACCCACACGGATCCTTGATGGACACGCTACAACCCTAAAAGACAACCTCCAAACAATTCCTTTCTCATCTTGGCTCAGATGAAGCCTGGTCACGCACTGTCGTCAAGCATGTCTGGGACGAGTTTGAACCAGTCCTCAAAACAGGAATGTGTTTCTTTTGCTTTGTTACTAGCATGCCCGCTACAAGCCGAATTCACTTAATCTACCTTTGGCGTTTAAGGCCCCTGTCCTCAACACTCTCTGGGCGGACCGCCATCTGGCTCTGTACAATTAAGTTTCCTTTGGCAGTTGAGCACGTCTCGTCTCGGCTGCGGAGAAGAGAAAGCTGAGAACTCAATGGACACCTCAAACCTAAGACACGCGTTCACAAGTTTTTCAGGAAAGAATCAAGTCTTGTCGCTGAGTAGGCTTGATTGAACAATAAGATCCACAAAGCACCACAGCAACGAGACAACTAGTCTTCGGAAAGCCCGCTACATGGAGAACTCGCTGGGCAGTTGTAGCACATTCTGCCGGCGCCTCGTTTGCTAGCTTCCGATTTATTATGGACTATTTCAAATTAGGGCCTTACTAGGGACTATTCCAAATTAGGGCCGTTTCAGGGACTATTTCAGATTAGGGCCTCATTAGGGACTATTCCCAGTTTAGGGCCAATTAGGGACTGTTCCAGATTGGGCCTTGGAATCTGGAATTCTTTTATATAAATTCCTTTAAAAAAACCGTTCAAAAGCAAAATGTAGGACATCAAGGAGAGCCCTTATCCTTAAGAGTCGTGCTAAACCCCCCCCCTAGTTCAGAGAGCCGCTATTAATTCTAGTCTTGGCCGTTTTGAAAGTAGTCTTGGGGACGGATTTCAGAGTTTTGGCAAATCCGTACTTAATGTTAGGAGGTGGGGGGGTTAATATTAGGTGACGGGATGAACAGACCCAAGGAACTACATAGGAATCCTTGTGTAGATGCTATCTACGAAAGATGGGCTATGCTGCCCCAGGGATCCCAGAATGACCCTGCAAGAATGTACCTTAAATCATATCAGGGATCCAAGTATACCGCACAAGGTATGTTGCAATAGCTGATTAACGGGGATTGGGCCTCTGGGTCGTTCAGATCTGATTTTGAGCTCTGCTCGTCTTGTCTCGTTCATGGCTGGATAACAGCAAGTCACTCCGCCTGCGCCACTAAATTGCACAGACTGCAGGGGACATGGGCCCCTTTGCGTGGACAAGCTGCAACGAGCCGAACTGGCCATGGGAAGCCTCAGAGGTACTCATCGACCGCACGTGACCGCACGTGCTGTACAGTGGTCGTGGTAACCATAGAGGCCAAAGCTTCACAAGTTCGGTAGAGTGCGAGGTTCTGTGACTGCTACACATCTCCACGGGTTCAGGATGTTCTGGTGCTTACCCAGGCTCCTGTAGAACTAATTCACACTAAACCTGTACAGAAGGTCATACAGCCGTGATATAGCAGTCACGCAGAGGTGAAGCCTTGGCTGTCTGTTTGGTCCCCGGTTCCCGCCGTAGTGCGCGCACTTCTCAAACAAAAAAATGCACGAGCTTCAGAATGGCTCTAATCAGAGCCACACGGCTCCTTTAGGGTTTAGGGCTTACGGTTCATCTTAACAGCATCCCATTCCTCTGAAGCCTGGAAAAGCTTTCTCAACCTCATGTATTCAGGGCCTCATCTGCCGTTGCCTCTGCTCCTTCCTCTCTACGTACATCCTTTAGTCACGGTCCTTGTTGAAAGACTAGTGAGATCATGTTCAGCCTGTATTGGGCCCAGGTATACATAAAAATGTAAAATGTTGTTCAACAAGACCCCAGTAGAAGGGGATATTGGGCTTTCTCGGTGCGGAGCGGGTCTGAGCACATTATAGTCCGCTTTGGTGACATAGTCCCCCTTAAGTAGATAGAATATGGCTTTGGGTATGTTATAACAAGATCCCCATGTAACCCACAGTCTTTCTACTTGAGGGGGGCTATAAGGAAACACGACTCTCAAGCCGGCACCATATTCATATTCGTCTGGATAGCAACCTCATAATCATACAGCTGACTTCTTGCCATGTCTGTGTGTGTTCGTTCTACCAGTTGAGTCCTGTAGCTATCGCTGCCAAGAAACTTCCATTTATGAGGTCCCTTTGCCTTGACCATGTGGACTGACCCTAGTACCATACCATATCACGTAGGCAGCAATAATCATCTGTCGTGGAAGGTGGGTTCTTCATTCTAGGATAAGGTGATTACTGATTACGGCTAAGCTCATTCTGAACTCCATTTGTGTGGGCCTTTGCCTTGTTCGCTGAGGAACCACCAAGACAAGGACATGTAAGAACATCTTAGGAGTCTTAGCATCCACGTACCTCAGCTACCAGACAACCCCACGCTAACACCCACGTTACCTGAATTACATTCTAGCTCATGCTCGTCTTGATCTGCACCCCACCCAAACTGAAACTGACTCCTGAAAGCCAAGTAGCCGTTCTGGATCTCCTGTTTGTCCCTGCCCAATTGACTTGGTCTTCCGCCATCTCCACAAATGTGTTGCGGACGACAATGTTCCTGAAGGCTTGCTGCATCTGATAGCTGAAAGCTATAGGGTTTGTGGATCCGGTGAGAAGCTCCGGTTTGAGGCACAAGGCATTGGGACTGAACAGATTAACTCTACAGGCTCGAGGTGAGACGCCTGGGCGGATGCTTTTCGGACTGAATGTTACCCCTTTCAATTTTGTTTTGCAAGCCCGTGCTCTTCCGGGCGAGGCGCTCGACTTCATTCGCGCACTTTTATAGGCCTACCCCAAAATTCAAGGATCCCCTTTTTTAAGCCCTGCATCCGCCAGGATCATAAGGAGCCTTTGGGTACCGCGACAGACCGCTATCAAGCATGGCGACAAACGGTATCCAGCTAGCGCCTACTGCTCTTGCACCCGGCAAAGGCAAGTGAACAAGCATGGACGCAGGACGCAGGGACTTGCGCGACAATTTACCAGAAAAGCTTGGTATCGAACAAAAAAACACCCTCAAAGCTACTATCGTGATTCTGAGGCTTGCTTCGACAACAACAGAAATCTTCATAACTTCAAGCCAAAAAGTCGAGGTTGGAAGCATTTCCGGGCGGCATTGTGCAGGCAGGTGCCTGGGCTGCGTGCGGAACTTGGGCTGTGTGGAGTCATGAATGCCCGGCGCTGAGCTGCCTCCGTAGGTGCGACGATAGGCGGTCTTCTGCAGAATGTAGGCGCGGCTGAACTCTGGCTGGATGCGATGCCATACCTCCTGTGGAATTGCACACTGGTATGGCAGCAGCTCCTGCCCATCCAGAGTCTGATACACGGCCACATCCACGCCAATCCTCTGCAAGAAGAGCATGAGATACTCCGCCAAGTAGAAGCTGGTACTGCCAATAATTTGGGGATGGAAGCAGACCCACGTAGCAAGTCCTCCTTTGCGTCCGGCATCAATGGTTGTCACTTCTCTTGTGGCCTCCTCCTTCACTGCCGGAACAAGCGGACGTCCGCGTCGCCAGCTCTGCATGGTGAGGATCACGTAGAAGTTAGCGTCAAGCTTCCTGATCTCAGTGAAATAAGGTCGGTTCAAGAAAGAAGTTGCGGTGTGCCTGAAGCATTCCAATAGGCTGGTGAAATGCTCAAAAGCCCACTGGGCAATGTTGGGCACCCGGAGCACGGTATGTATGGTGAAGAGCTCTTTCTCGTCCTGCGGCAGTCCCACAAACATGGCCTCAAACGCCTCGGAGATGCTTTGAACTGCGTAGGCGCTGGCACCTTGCTGTGGATAATTTCGCCGCACCGCATGGCGGAACCGTCCAGGTATCTTTGGATGGTAAAAGTAGCTCAGCATGTCCTCTCTCCCCAAAGTGCCTGAGATCACAAGAACTATGTAACCACGCGAAAAAACGCAAACAAATGGGTGCTCTAATGATATTTGGTCTGTTTAGAACAAGCCTAAGACCTAGGCCCCTTTAGAAACGAAAACAGTACTGTACACCTGGCACCTGGTTTAAGAGCCACGATGCTGAATACCACGCAGCACATTTTGAAGAACTTCAAGGGCGCCAAGCGCTGCACAACCTAAGTGATTCAGAAAGGGAAGTGCAATGGATGGTCACTGGTATACGTAGTGCGCTGTGTACTTCATACAAATAAGTGCATCTGTATAGCTGCTTCCTTCCTTCCTTCTTGTCAGGAATCCAATAAATTGTTACAACTTACAACCTGTAGGCTAGCAGCGCTATGACCAAGCTATAGGCTTACTTCGCACAGGTAAAGTCGTATGGCTGTATATGGGGGTTTCCCAAAATCAGGGTACCTCTGTGGGGGTCCTAATAATAAGGATTATAGCAGTTGGGGATCTACATTGGGGTCCCGCTATTTTGGGAAACTACCATACCTAGGTACAGGGGTCCAAATAAGGTATACCAAGCAGTAGGCCAGGAGCGCTGTGACCAGGTGCGACAAGGTCCAGAACCTGGAAATTCTCCTCGTTGAGCTCGGGATGTCCTGAGCTGAACCCGGTTGGGTTCCCAAATATGAGGGTGCGTTTTTTGGGGTTCCCTGGAATGGGGACAAATTCGTTTGAGAGGGTGGGTATAGTTTATGGAGTACCCTGAGTTTGAGGTTTTCCTCAGTCAACTTTGAAAGTTAAGTAGGATGACCCACACGTGAAGACTACGCGTGACTCTGTTGCGAAGCGGCTGCTAAAGAAGTGAGCACGGGCCTCCGGCCGCACGAAGAGCGTCGAAGAGTCTTCCACACCACGGACCCTGATGTCCTTTCAGGGTTACTACACCCCCAGGGTTGCCACCACAATCTTAATCATATAGGGTAATTAGGGCTAATAATGGGACCCGTGCTCCTTGAGGGAAAGCCTGACCAACTGTGAATGTTCTGCCCACGGGCTGCTGCGGTATAGCAGACTGCCGGCAGGGCAATCAACCTCAGTCCGCCACCTAAGCTCTCAGGGAGCCCAGTACTCCTTGAGCTCAGGAAGCTTCAGGCCATTAAGAGCTTTCATAAGATACATATATATATGTATATACCATATACATCTATATCTACGTACAAATGTGCATTACATATTCCTTTATCACGGTGTGCGGGGCACGTTGGCTTGACAAGTAATCAATAGGCAGCTGGTTGACAGCCACTAACGTAGAAGCCGGTTCGATTAGAGTAGGGTTTTAAGGATGCTTGTTGATTAATATGTGGGTCATACGGGGAGAATGAATATCGGTGATTCTTCAGGCTTCTACAGAAGTTTGCTTGCTCTTGCCTAAGTCGATGAAGGACAATTTCCTGGACCCCATGGCCCAAATTATACAACAAGATGTTTACGAGAACAGAATGGCGCTAAGTATGGTTTGTACATGTTTTCTCGGTTGATCTGGCCGAAGTCGATGTCTTATGATAGTATAGGGTTTGGGGTTTAGGAAGTTGTGAAGCTAAAAAGCCTCAGCAGGTCCCAGACAAATTAACAGAACCTGGACAGCAAACACCAGATCGTAGTAAGCATATAGTGAGCGATACGCAGCAAAACCCACACGGATCCTTGATGGACACGCTACAACCCTAAAAGACAACCTCCAAACAATTCCTTTCTCATCTTGGCTCAGATGAAGCCTGGTCACGCACTGTCATCAAGCATGTCTGGGACGAGTTGGAACCAGTCCTCAAAACAGGAATCTGCGTCTTTTGCTTTCTTGCCCCTTGTACTAGCATGCCCTGTTGCACATAACAAGCCCAATTCACTTAATCCACCTTTGGCGTTTAAGGCCCCTGTCCTCAACACTCTCTGGGCGGACCGCCATCTGGCTCTGTACAATTAAGTTTCCTTCCTTTGGCAATTGAGCACGTCTCGTCCCGGCTGCGGAGAAGAGAAAGCTAAGCGCTCAATAGACACCTCAAACCTAAGACACACCATCACAAGCTTTTCAGGAAAGAATCAAGTTTTGTCGCTAAGTAAGCTTGAACAATAAGATCCACTTCACAAAACACCACAGCAACGAGACAACTAGTTTTCGGAACGTCCACATCATGGACAGCTCAGTGGGCAGCGTAGCATTCTGCCAGCGCCTCGTTTGCTAGCTTCCGATCCGCATCAAGCGTCCTGCAGCCACATTGCAGGCGTGGGAGTTCATTGGAGGCCCCTCGGGGGGCAAGCGGATAGACGGGAATTGGGATGGGCTTCTCTCAAACCCTAAAGGTTCATGTCCTCAATCAGGATATACATCTCCAACACCTGCACTAGAACTGTCAATACCCCAAACCCAACTACCTCATTCTTGGGCACTTGGACCGTTAGGGTATGCTGTTGGTCCCTTCTTGGATTGTACTTGGGGGGCTCTACAGAACTTCAAGTGAGAATGTGAAAGAATGGGTCAAACACCCAAGAACCCTAAGTTTACTTCCCGGTGCTTGAAGGGCAGTGGAGACGTGAATATGAGGATTACTAAGCCTTATAAACCCCAAGGTATATGAGCTATAGTCTAACCTCCAAGTATCCCCCCTGGTAAATCCTGGAATGCTCCCCTATAGAATCACCTATAGAACCCCTTTATTTTCGGAGTTCAGACCATAACTCATATGGTGATCATTTTAGGGATCCGCTGACCCATTCTCCCTTTGCAAGCAATGTGCAAGATTTCGTTCAGGGTTTAGTGTTTATGCTTAAGGGAGAAACACAGACACTATACATTAGTAAAGTTAGGTGGACCCCCCACCCAGTAATAGTGACTATAAGGGATAATATGGATTATATTTGGGTCCTCTTAGATTCCTATTATACCACTATTACAGGGTGGAGGGTCCTCCTAAACTATACATCCTATAGCCGCAAACATCTCACAAAATCAGGCTTCTCATGAGCTGAAGGAGCCGCGGGTTTAGGGTTTAGGGTTTACGGTGTAAGGTTTAGGGTTTAAGGTTTCGGGTTTAGGGTCTAGGGTCTAGGGTTTAGGATTTAGGGTTTAGGGTTTATAGTATGGGGTTTCGGGCACCCAAGGTCTTGATTAACTAGGAGGCGCTGGGATGGATACCCACGGGCTCCTATGCAAGTAGTTCCTTTTTAGGTAGCATAATTCAATCCTTAAAACCCAAAACCATATCAAATCCTGAACCCTAAACGCAAGAAACAACTACATAGAACCCCTGGAGCAGGGACAGCCTCAGGACTTTCAAGAATCAGGGGTTTGGGTTTAGGGTTTGGGAATTGAGGGTTTAATGGCCAAAGTAGCAGCCTAAGTGATTAGAATGGTTTTGGAGCACAGTCTAGCAATCATACAATGATTCAAGCGGAAGTTTCATGAACAAGCTTTGCGAGATGCTAGAACCTGATAGAACATGGACCTCATGCCCTGAGCTTATCTTAGGGATCCTAGTGCGGGCATACAGCATTCTTTGGGTGAAAAATCTTCGGCAGAGTCATCTAGATCTGATTTTGAGCTCTGCTCATCGTGTGTCGTTCATCACCAGGTGCAGGTGGCAGCAAGTTACCCCGCCCGCACCACTAAACAGACTGCAAGAGACACAGGAGGTTGTCAAAATGATGTCCTTTTGTGGCTACACCATAATGACAACCCCACCACACGAGGGCTTTGGACCCTTTGCATGGACAGACTGTAAAAAGCCGAACCGGCCGTGAGGAAGCTGCAGAGGTACTCATCAACCACACATGCTGTACAGCGGCCGTGGTAACCATAGAAGCCACCTCTTAAAAACCTTTACACGTTCGGTCGGGAGAGTGCCAGATTAAGTTACTACCAGACAGCTCCACCCGAGCCAATAGGGAGCCTGGATAGAAGATTATTTGAGCCATGCGGTAAATTTGAAGGGAAAACTGGGACTGTTTGCGTACCCAGGCTCCTGTAGGACTAATTCGCGATAAATGGTAGTTTCCACTAATAGGGGGAACCCCAATATAGCTCCCCAAATACTATAGTCCTTCATTCTGGGAACAAAGTGGTACCCCTAATTAAGGGAAACCCTAACCCCTAAACCCTATGTATGGCTATATAGTCCCTATATACCCCCTATAACCACGTCAAAGGTACCCTTAATTTTGGGAAACTCCCCACATCTATACAAGAGTCTAGGCTCCTCAGTAACCCCAGAAAAATACTGGCACCCTTTTTCCTACTATTCAGCTTTAATAAAGAGACCCCAGATAACAAGGGAAAAAGGGTACTACTGGGGTACCTTGGAGTCATGCAGCCATGATGCAGCAGTCACGCAGAGGGGAGGCCTTGGCTGACCGTTTACTCCTAGGCCCCGAAATCCTTTCGGCTTCGTAGGGAATAAGGGAGATATCATAGGGTTTAGGATCTATAAGGTTTAGGGTTTAGGGAAGTTACCTCAGTGCATGGTGTTGGGCATCCTAGTATGATTGAAGGCATAAGTCCTTTGGTAAGCAACATTGGACTTACTGGGTCCTCCCGGGCCCTACGGGAATAGGTAACGCAGCCTGGAAATTAAGCTCTCAAAGTACAACTTGCTTTAGGTTGAATAAGGCTATAGATCGAAACAGCCCAAAATAGGCTTCATCTACCTCTTGCTTCTAGATTCTGGGGCGCACAACATCAAATCCTGTTCCATCGGCGTTCCATGCTGCGCGCATGTCCCCTAAGCTTACGGATAAATTTGTCTAGAGGGGCTTCGTCATCTTCACGATGTGTGAGCATTACCTGCCGCTCTTCCCTCTTTACAGAGGCCTCTTTGTGTAAAATTCAAGGCCCTTGCACACGCGATCCCTCAGAACACGCTGAGATAGTCGTGAGGATACTTTTGTGAACTCAGGGGCCTACGCAAACACAACTCAGATTGGCAGCCATCTCTTGGAGCCCGTTAGTCTCTCTGGCAACACCACACAGACAGCTAATCAACCTGCATTCATCAGCTTTGTCCTGTAGATGGTCCCTGCAAGAAAACCTTCTGCAGCTGAATTCCCTTGCATTGACTATCCGGAATGCCATAGCATATTCTGAATGCGGCAATGTTCATCTGCAGTAGGAGGTGCAATATCGTGCTAGGGGAAGGTGCTTACTGCTAATCTCATTGTCAATTCGATTTTGCAGTTATTGTATTTGTCGGTATAAACTCATCAAGGAGCATCTGAACATTTGCAGAAATTTCAGGACGTTCAACTATCCGAAACTCTGAGTCCAACTTCTAGAATCCATTGCTGAAACCCAGCCCTCTGCCTAACGTACTGGACCAAGAACCATGAACTCTGAAACAGAACTCTGTGTATCAATCATGCTTGACTCCTGAAAGCCATGTAGCCGTTCTGGGTCTCCTGTTTGTCCCTGCCCAGTCGACTTGGTCTTCAGCCATCTCCACGAAGGTGTTGCGGACCACAATGTTCCTGAGGGCTGGGATTCAAAGGTTCAAGATTAAAGGTTGGGTTTGAGGCGTTGAAAATCGGATCTACACGGATTCAAGTCTCAAGTCTGAAGTGGCATGCGGCTGGAGGCCCCGCTCTGCTTTCCATGGCGCGACCGCCACTCCACTTGGGAATTATCATCTCCATGGCCGCCAGAGGCCTACCCCCAAATACAACGACCTCTTTATCAGTACCCAAGAAGCACTCCTCATTTTCTTGAATTCCAGCATCTACCAGAAAACTACTATCATGATTCTCAGGCGTTCTTTGGCACTAACGGAGATCTTTATCACGTAAGCCCATGATTAATAAACCCCCTCCTTTTGAAGACCTTAATATCAGGATCCCTATTAAAAACCCTGTTAAGGGGATGGGGTTTATTAATCAAGGGTCTACATTACCATCAAGCCAAAGTTTCGAGGTTGGTTGCATTTCCTGGCGGCATTGTGCCAATGGCGGACGTCTGGGCTGAGTGCGGAACTTGGGCTGTGTGGAGTCATGAATGCCCGGCGCTGAGCTGCCTCCATAGGTGCGACGATAGGCGGTCTTCTGCAGAATGTAGGCGCGGTTGAACTCTGGCTGGATGCGATGCCATACCTCCCGTGGAATTGCACACTGGTACGGCAGCAGCTCCTGTCCATCCAGAGTCTGATACACGGCCACATCCACGCCAATCCTCTGCAAGAAGAGCATGAGATACTCCGACAGGTAGAAGCCGGTACTGCCAACCATCTGGGGATGGAAGCAGACCCACGTAGCAAGTCCTCCTTTGCGTCCAGCATCAATAGTTGTCAGTTCTCTCGTGGCATCCTCCTTCACCGCTGGAACAAGCGGACGTCCGCGTCGCCAGCTCTGAATGGTGAGGATCACGTAGAAGTCAGCGTCAAGCTTCCTGATCTCAGTGAAAACCGGCCGGTTCAGGAACCAAGTTGATGTGCTCCTGAAGCACTCCAACAAGCTGGTGAAGTGCTCAGAAGCCCACCGGGCAATGTTGGGCACACGGAGCACGGCATGTATCGTGAAGAGATCTTTCTCGTCCTGTGGAAGACCGACGAACATGGCTTCAAACGCTTCCAAGATGCTTTGAACGGCGAAAGCGCTGGCACCTTGCTGTGGATAGTTTCGCCGCACCGTATGGCGGAACCGTCCAGGTATCTTTGGATGGTAAAAGTAGCTCAGCATGTCTTCTCTTCCCATAGTGCCTGGGATTTGCGCAAACAAAGGGTGCGTGGTATGTCGCGTTTAGTTTGTCTAGATGGGGCTTATAGACCCTCGGAAAAAGGAAAAAGGGCACACATTGTGCGCCTATAATAGGGCGGGCAAGATGCTGAAAACAACACAACACATGCGGAAGAACTTCCACGGCGCCAAGCGCTGCACAACCTCACTGATGCTTCTTATTGTCAGGAATGGAGGTATACATAGTGCTATAGGTGTTCCTTGGGATCCAAACATGCCATACCAAGCTATAGGTTTACTTCATACAGATAAGGATGTAAGGCTGTACATGGTTGCTCTTCCCAAGCCCTAGGTGTCCAAATAAGGTATGTGGTACTTTCCCCAAACAGGGGAACCCCAATGTAGTCCAAATCAAAATATAATCCTTATTCTTGGGACCCCCAAAAGGTACCCCTAATTTGGGGAAACCCCCATAATATGGGGCCCCCTATACCAAGCAGTAGCCTAGCAGCCGTGTGACCAGGCGCGGCTAGGTCCAGAAGCTGCCAATTCTCCTCGTTGAGCTCGGGATGTCCTGAGCTGAACCCGGTTGGGTTTCTCAACGTTAAGGGTCTCTTTTTGGGGTCCGCGGAATGCAGACAAAGGCATAGGAGAGGATAGGTATATGACAGACCCTGAATTTGATGTTTCCTGAATGGACCTTGAAGAGTTAAGTAGGATGGTAGGCATAGTGACCCACAGAGTGAAGACCGCGTGACTCAGCTGCAAAGCGGCGGTAAAAGAAATGGGCACGGGCCTCCGGCCGCACGAAGAGCATCGAAGTATCTTCGAGGTCAGGGACCCTGATGTCCTTTCATGGGTTCCCTTACTACACCCCCAGGTTTCCCACCTTAATTAAGCCTTGATTAAGGTTGTTTGGGTGGATGTCAAAGGGGTACCCTAAATATTAGGTGCCGTATCATAATAGGGATTCAAAAACGGACCATAAGTTTGACAACCACTCATTTAGTGTAATCTGAATTAACTAGGGGACCCATGATCCTTGATGGAAAGCCTGACCAACTGTGAATGTTCGGCCCACGGGCTGCTGCGGTAAAGCAGACTGCCGGCAGAGCAGTCAGACTCAATCTGCCACCTAAGTTCCCAAGGAACCCATTACTCCTTGAACTAAGGGACGCACCCTCAACAGATCTGAACATCCTTCAGGCCACATATGGTACAATGTGTTAAATGGGAGACGGGCAGTGTGCATTCATATGCAAGCCTGGGCTCATTTCGATTTGCTTGGGGTTTTCTCCTTATAGAGATTATGTACTACTGAGCTTGTTCTTCCCTGACTGCAGCGGCAGGGGACGTTAAGAATGATCCCAAACGCATTTTCGTGGCCAGACTTATTTTGCTGTGGAATGGAATTTTTAATTTCCTGGTGCTACTTTTGGGCTGCGTATTTGGCAGCCAGCGCGCTTTTGCACTGTTAGTGCCAGGGGGCCCTACCCAAGTTTTTAACTCGGCTTTAGTTGACTTATTTAGGCTTTAACTTGTTGAAAGCTAAATTTGGAATTGTCATACGTGGATTGGTATTAACTTTACGTGGATTTCGAACTGGTTTGATCTGCTTCAACTGATTTGAAATGAATCGCGAATGTGTTTGGATTAGGTTTTAATTAATGTACATGAGGTTTTGGTTTTTGGTAACTAGATTCTGTGATTTATCTGATTGAGATGCAACTGGTTTTGAACGGGATTAAGCTGATTTCAACTGATTTCGCTCATTTTCTCAACCAAGTTCCATAATGAGTTTCAATTAATTAAGGGAAACCTACCAAACTCTTTTCACACCAGCATTCAATTTTTTCGGGTAGCGGACTATTATGGAGAGTCTTAAGCCGTGGCGGACGGTTTCTGACATTAAGGGGAAGCGATGAATTCGGATTACAGGAACGAATGGCGCTGATTGTGGCTTGTATACTAGACGCTCAGCAGGTCCCAGACAAATCAACAAAACCTGGACAACAAGAATCAGATCGTAGTTAGGAGATACTGCGCAGCACAGTCCACACTCATCCTTGATGGACACGCAACAAGACTAAAAGACAAACTCAAAATGTGTTCCCCCTCACCTTTGCTTAAATGAGCATGGCCACGCATCGTCGTCGAGCATGTCTGGGACGAGTTGGAACCAGTCCTCAAAACAGGGATCCGGGTCTTTTGCTTTGGTGCGCTTGTTTTCTAGCATGCCCGCTATCCTTGAGCCCAAATCACTAAACATACTTTTAGCGTTTAGAGCCCCTGTCCTCAACACTCTCTGGGCGGACCGCCATCTGGATCTGTACAATTAAGTTTCCTTTGTCCTTTGTCAGTTGGGCACGTCTCGTCCCGGCTGCGGAGAAAAGAAAGCTAAGAGCTCAATAGGCCCCCACAAACCTAGGACACACGATCACCGCTTTTCCAGCAGGGAATACGCAGTTGTCGCTAAGTAGGCTTGAAGAATAGGATCCAACTGACAAAAGACAACGGTAACGAGACCAGCAGTTTTCGGAAAGCCCGTGACATGGACAATTCAGTAGGCAGCAGTAGCAGTAGCACACTCTGCTGGCGCCTCGTTGCTAGCTTCCGATTCACATCAAGCGTCCTGCAGCCACATGTGAAAGTTCGGGGGGCTAAAGGTGTTGAGATCAAAGCTCAAAACAGTAAGAAGCATACTAGTAGTAATAAGAACAGTAATGGGAATAGTAATAAGAATCAGAATGGTAATTGCAGGCGTGGGAGTTCAATGGAAACCCAGAGGGCCAGACGGGTACACATGCATTGCGGGGAAGGTACATTCCTCTTCTTAGAGTTTAAGGTTTAGGGGGCATCATGCCTGTAATAACCCCTAAACCCTACACCTTAATAGTCATGGGCATGCCTTAAGTCAGATAGCCTGTTCCTGGAATTGCAATGTATTGGGCTCTTTGTTCTTCAACAAAGCTAGCCCTTCTAAACCCTAAACCGTAATCGTTGCAAGCATCCTGGCCAGATTAGATAAGATTTTAGGTTTTAGGGTCCCTGGGGCAAGTACATGCCAGTTGACTGCTGGCAGCCCCTTCGGATGACGACACATCTTAGGATGAATAGCAGACATTTGTTGATGCAGAAGCTTTGGTAGTTTCCATACACAGGGGGGCCCCAACGTATGCCCAAGATACTATAATCCTCATCATGTGGCACTCTGAATCCGGCCCCAGCTTTTCGGAAACCTCCATTCAGGCAAGAGAGCTACATAGTGGAGAGAACATGAAGACACACTTCCAATTTTGCTGTAGGGAGATCCTTCACAGGAGTCGGTCCTTCAAGACTGCCTGGATTTGTCGAAGCTCGCCTGTGCAATGTTTGCAAAACTCCGGGAATCACATGAGCTGTAATCTGAACTTCGAGTATCCCCTATAATACTCCCCTATACTACTGCCCTTTAGCACCCCCTTTCAGGAGTTTAGACTATAGCTTACATAGCCCAAAGCAAGTATCTTAATCTTTGCAGCCTTGGATCCCCAGGATTGAAAGCTAACTTACTGGTGGCTCTCAGCATATGGAGGAGTAAAATTCAGGAATTTGGGGGGTATACCTGGTGCTGTAGAAAGCCATTCTTGCTGGTAGGTTAGGGCCCCTCAATCACGTCATCAGACGGCTTGAGGCGAGACATTTCTTCTCCAAAGACTACACCTCCCCACTCCCACCCCCAACCCTAAACCATCAACATCGCGCTGTCCAGGCTGACAGGAAAAGACCCTACACCTGCAGCCGTACGTACCCTAACATGGACTCTTGCTTCATGGTTGACGAAGTCCTTGGGCTCAAAATAGCCCAAAGTATGGTATGCAGAGAAATCGACTTGGATCCTTTGGAAACCAGCAAGAACTAGCAATTGCGAAGCTAGTGATTTGATCTCACCTCTGGTTGTCAGGAAATGAAGGAATGAAAACGAAAATGAAACTGAGCATCATGCTGAGCCTTATACCAAGGACTACTGCAAGGATCCAGTTCTTCATTCCTTGCTAAACAAAGTAAGTCATCGCAGAACTTTCTCCACTTTTCATGCGTGCTCGCATCAACCTAGCGCTGATGCCTGTGCTAACATGCGTGAAACCGGAGCGCACGCTTTGATGAGGCGGACCCATCCAGACCCCCTCTACCTACGGAGATTGTCCTAAACTAGTGTAGTACAAGATGGTCCTGGTCCTAAACTAGTATATTTATTCCAGAATTTATTAGTTTTTGCATCAAGTTTGCCATATGCCGAAACCCTACAGTCAAATAGAACCAAAGATTAACAATACTGAAGCTAGCTGGAGGGAATCCGCCCTTGTCCCTTCGAAGGTTTGGGGCAAGAATACCTGGGGTTTAGGGTTTAGGGTTTAGGGTTGTACCTGGACCTCGGAAGTAGGTAGAGTAGTTGCCCAAAACCAAAAGAGGCCAAGAGGGGCATTCATCATCCTAAATACCTCGAGGATCCAAACAACCCCCAAATAGGTATTATCCATACACTTCAAAGCCCCAAGTAGATAAAAGCACATGATCTTTGGGATATAGTCCCCCTTAAGTAGATAGAATATGGCTTTGGGTATATTATAATAAGATCCCCATATACCCCATATTCTATCTACTTATGGGGGACTATGATATCCCTAAATCCTAAACCCCATATTCTATCTACTTAAGGGGGATTATTACATCCCTAAACCCTAAACCCTATCTGCTTAAGGGGTACCGCTCCACTCAGAAACTCTGCTCAGCATTGCGTGGTGGCGGATCGAACGTCTGGGGATCCTGCTGAAGCAGGGCTTCGAGTTTTAGGGTTTTAGGGCGGGTGTAGGGTCTGGGGCTTTAAGGCGGAAATCCTTCAGGCTTATGGTTTAGGGTCTAAATAAGCTCAAGTTAAGCTTGCGCACTGGTTATGCAGATACACCATGAAGAAGTACACGTTTTTTGATGTATCTGTATATGGGTGCCGTATCATAGTAGGGATCCAAAGAGGGACCATAATTTTGACAACCACCCATATGTATGATTGCCATCCGGGAAGTTGTTCGGGGTCTGCAGACATCCGTCTGATACGGTCGCTGGAAATCTTACCTTGCCTTTCTTGACCATTTCAAAAATGCTAGTATGCAGGATCCTTATGAGGCCAAGAAGGGAATATCTTTTACTGTCCCAGGGCTTAACTTAGAAGTGCTGTGTAACTTCAGATGTTGCTGCACGTAGCCGGACCAGTAAACAAACTACAAACTGTCTTTACAAAGCACCTGCCGCAATTGAAGCTGCCGAGATGGGTACCGGAATCAGGCCGCTGCAAAAAGATCGCTAGCACGTGAAACACGGCTGAGCTTCTGATGTGACAGACATAGAATATGATCTAGCCTTGAGAACTTGGCAAGAAATCGGTGAAGCTACTGTTTTTCGATGTTTCGACGTGCCGCGCCTGCTGAAGAATCGTTGGGTTGGCTGGTGAGGGCTCTGGCTTCAGTCGCTCTTGCATAACACACTTTTTGAAACGGGTTGGATAATTGAGCCTGAAAATAAGAACTATAAGAAGACTATAGTGTGCCCGTCAAAAAGACTACTTGGATGGTTGCTGGGACCCTGTAATACCCCACCTCCAAAACAGACCCCAAAAGGGCTCTTTTAAAACTGGGGAGGAAGTGCGGAGGGTTGTAATACAGGACCGTAAACCCTAAACCAATAGACTATGTAGGATACCTGGGCTTAGCTGCAGAGTTGGGTCATGCTCATGGATGCAAATTGCTCGAGGTAGATATTGTTCTAAAGGGAGTTTTCAGGTGGGTAGTTGCCAGGTGGGTACCTTATCATAAGGCTTCTGTAAGGCATATATTGGGACACTAGGACTATATGAGGGCTATGGAAGGCTTGTATGGGGCAAACTACCCCTTCTTACATTGAAGCCTCAAGTAGGTAACATTCCTGACTTGGACCCCTAGAGATTGGCATGTCGTCCAGACATGGGGTCCTTGTTGGGATGCGGCTGCTTTTGTTGGCCGTATACTTCTCTTGTTGGGTTGCAAAATCATAGCACAAAGAAATCGTCTTCAACAAGGACCCCGAAGTAAGGATCGCCCTGGTAGACCCCCAGATATTACAATCCTTTGGGTGTAGGGTTTAGGGTCAGGGGCATGCAGGATTTTTAGTATCAACCATAGCTCTGACAACCCTCCATTTTCAGAAAGGTTTCTTGCACGGCTTTTCTGTTCTTCCAGGGTAAGCCACACCAGGCAAACCCTAAACCCTAAACGTTACAAGCAGTCGATCATGGCTCGGCCATAACACGAATAGCACCTAATCCATTCATACAGACATTAAAGGGTGTGCGGTTTGAGGTTTCTAAGGGTTTAGGGTTTAGGGTTGCGGGTCCCCGAATAGATGAGGTCCCTTATGGGGTGCAATTGAAATTAGTGGTGCTGGGAGGTCATATTTTTAGTATGAAGGGCACCATAAACAGTTCTTTATTCCTTCGTAAATCCTCCTTGACGAGGAAAGAAAGACAAAATGAAGGCAGAATCGTCGAAAGCAGAACGCAATCCCCCAGCCGCACCCACGGGCTCCTCTGTAGTTCCTTCCAGGGTTTGCTGCGCTTTGTTGGGGCAAGTGGCTAAACATACTATTCAAAAAGTATCCATCCACATAGGAGCCCCTGGGTAGACCTCACAAACCCCAAGACCTTACTTAAAGCAACACTCAAAAAGGGGCAGCTTTTTTTTGCACGATTCAAGTCAGGAGAGGAGTAGCTGGAGCTCCTACAGCAGAGGTGACTCCCATAGTCTCCGTATGGTCAGCAGGGTTTAGGGTAAGGGTTGTGGCAACGCGAATTCCTACCACGCAGTATTATCTGCAATAAAATACAGCATAACATGTCATAGTATAACATGATACATTAACCACTGAGCAAAAATCTTCAACCAGCTCAGAACAAAATGGCCGTTGTCCTTATGCTTCGGCAGCTCTGAAGAGCAGTGCTCTCAGGGATGATGGGATTGGGGACTCCCAGTCTTGCTTGTGATCTAGGGTCCCCCAGTGACCCCTTATAGTCCCCCTTAAGTAGATAGAATATAGGGTATATGGGGATCATATTACAACATACCCAAAGCTATATTCTATCTACTTAAGGGGGACTGTAATAATAAGGGTACATTTTCCTAATATTCAGCTTTACTAAGGAGACCCCCAGATAAAAAGGGAGAAGGGGTACTACTGGGGTACCTAGTGATGGGCTTATGACCACATTTCATGGTATCAGGACTCAGTGGGACTCACCGCTGGCTCTGTGATC